TCAGTTTGCAGAGCGTCCACCCATTTCTCATACACTTCATCTTGTTAATCTCTGATGATCATTTTAGAATACTTTCTGAGCAATCATTTTCTCTTCCAGATTTTAAGGCATCTGCAGAAACATTTCGTCTTGAAGGATTTTTTTTAAATTGGTCAGATCCAAGGGCAGATCAACAGTACTTAATAACCACCTGGTCCAAAATTTGACACAGATCCATGAGCCAGTTCTCCGAGCAGCATTATTCTCTTGTTCTTTCTCCCTCTCACACGGTCTTATTTTCTTGTGCTCTCTCTCTCTCTCTCTCTCTCTCTCTCTCTCTCTCTCTCTCTCTCTCTCTCTCTCTCTCTCTCTCTATCTCTCTCTCTCTTTCTCTCTGACAGCATTGTTAGCTATAATTACGCCTGTGGTACTTCCCTTGTTTAGTTTGGTAAAGCCATCAGTAAAGAAAAGGAGAGTTTATCATCAGAGTACGTTAAAAATAGCACCATCTACTCCTGTAAACGTGTCCCCAGTAGTTGTTTGGGTGACTGGAGTCACTGCTGTTGAATATCTTGCTTCTGCTAGTTGTTTCATTTATTTGTGTTTTATTTTCTTCTGTCCTGATTAGAGTATGACTGTCACAATGCTGTCCTTATTCCCCTTGTCTTCTTGCCCATGGCCCACACAATGCTCTGCTCTCAGCCTCCTGACATCCACACTCACCAGCCAGTGCTGCCCTGCCCTCCTGTACCCGAGTGTTTCTCTGGCAGCATCCCAGTGCCATTTCCTAAGTCCTGACTGCACCCAACAGATTGTAGCCAGTTCTTAGCCTCTCAGAATAAACGTGTGATTTCATTTGGTTAGGGTATTGACACAGAAAGGCCCCCAGAATTCCTCTAAACATTTTTTAAAAGAACTTCTATTACTAGGAATATCTTCTGTTATTCTGATTTCTGAAATCATGTCTTTTGTTTTCCTGATAGCTCTTTCCTTACACAGTACATGGCACTAGCCTTACTGTGTCCTTTGGTAAGCAGTTGACTGCCATGTGCCTTCATGCATTTTCTTTTCTTAACTAGATATGTCCTTGTATTTATGGTACTATTACCAGTACAGTGCTATCAAGCACACAATAAGCACACAACAAGAATTGGCTGGTGAGAGCATTATTCCTGTGAGTTGCCTAAATGGATGCTGACAGGTGGGCTTTCTGGTCCATGCCACTTCATTCTCTCACTGTAAGTCATTTGTTAGTATCAGTCCCCCAAGACCCTGTTAGTTAAGATCACCCACTATGGGTTCAGATACATGCCTTGCCGAATCTGAATTGGGAAGACAGAGGGAATAGAACAATGTGAATTCTGAGCCCCACAATTTGCCTTAAGTGGCTTGGTCAAATGCCTTAGGGGATATTCAGTGTCACTTGAGCTAATTGGCATGTGCCTTGGTTCAGCTGGTCTCTCCAAATGACTCGTGGGGCAGAGAAGCACCCTCATAAATTCTGCTATTCAAGTTTGTCTTGGGTTCCTAAGAGAACTAAAGAGGAGTGGGTTTAAGACACCTCCAGGACTTTAGCTCCCCGAGCCCCTCTAGCCATCATATAAGCTATGTGGCCATTGCTACTGTGGGCGGTGTTGATGCTCTGGAGGCAGAGTTTTCAGATACCGGGTGCTCAGGGGACTCAAGTGAAAATTCCCACAGCCCCTGGACAAAGTCAGAGGGCAACAGGGACCGTGGGCAGCATCAAAATCAAGCTCAGGGGGCCATTTGCTGCCCTTGAGAGAGGGTCTTGCTATTTTTGTTGTGAACTCATTGCTCACATTCCCTTCATGGCCCTCTGGGGTTCTGCCGGGCCATCTGTCAGGTTGTAGGAGGGATGGAGTCACTGGGACAGAGGGTCTGTGATAAATGTCTGCAATGATGAGGCTTTTAAAAAAGATTTATTTCTAACTAAGTGCATGTGTGTGTGTTTGGGTGTGGGTATGCACATGTGAATGCAGGTGTCCATGAAGGCTAGAGGTATCAACCCCCTGGGACTAGAGTTAAAGGGGGCTATGAGCTGGTTGAAAAGGGTTCTGGGAACTGAACATAGGTGCTTGTAACTGTGGAACCGTCTCTCCCTCATGGTTTGGACTCTTAAACAGCTCTCCAAGGCCTCTATATAGAAAGTTGGATTCTAGCATGGAATGGTTGGAAAATGGTGGAGTTTGGAGACAAAACCTAGTGAGTGGTTTAATGTCCTTAATGAGGGTTTTGGGACTGGAGTTTCTTTCTCATTTTACTGCCTGGGCAACAGGTTCACGCTGTCACATGTTCCCATCATGCTACGCCGCATGTACCCCACCACAGTATAAAGCAATAGGCACAACCAGCCATTGATTGAAATAATTCTTTCTTTATGGGATTTTGATCGCAGATGATCACTACAGTAATGGAAAGTTGACTGTCTTCAGGACTCCATTCTCCCAGCCCCAGCCTGCACTGCCTACTCTGTGGTGTGGTTTCATGTGTTTTTCCATGTACATCCTGCTAGATAATGAATAGTTAGAAAATGGGTATAATGATGCTTATTTTTTCTCTTTTACCACACAATGAATTTTTAACCATTTTTGTGAACTGTCCCCAACTCATATTGTTAGGCATTCAAGGCAAAGATCTGTACCTACCAAAGGTCGGAGGTCAGGGTGAGAGAGGATGTAGCCATTATTTGTGTTCAAAAAGGCATATCCGTGTACCCCAAGCTGCCAAAGTCAAGGGTTGAGGCATTAGATGTGTTGGATGGCTAGGTAGGGGAGGAGTTGGGGGCGGGCATGATGGAAGACAGCAGCTCCTATCAGTGGGTTAAATACAAATTGTACCAAACCACTGTTGTGCTTCCCCCATTGGTCTCCAGTGAAGCAGCCATGACTGAAGTCACAGAAATGACAAGCTCAAGCAAATCTCTCCTCCCTTTAAGCTGATTTCCTCAGATACCTTGTCACAACAATGGAAAGCTGTGGCTCCCCCACCTCCCTCCCAGGGTCCCACTCAGGCTCACCTTGTATCGGGGTGCAAGCTTCATGAGCTCTCTTAGGGTCACGTCAGAGCCCACTACACCCAGGAGAATGCCATGGGATCGCTGGAATAAAAAATACAAGGCTCAGGGAAACTGGGATTCTTATCCTAGACTCTTGGCCTCCCTAGAGGCTGGGAGAGGAAACATTTACTGATCTTCCTTTGTAGTTAGGTTATAGGTTGAATCCCCCAAACAAAAATGTAGACTGTCAGAGGAGGCCTCAGGGGCAAGCTGAGCTGTTAGGAAGATTAATGCCCTGTATTAATATTTAAGCAGTAACATTTAAATGAAATACAAAGCTAAGTGAAATATTAATGTTCGCACCAGAGGGTGAAACAGAAGGATCATAATTTATGCAGCTTCTCTAGCATAAGTGACTCATAAGGAAGTATTTTCTGATCAGACAGACTATGGGAAGCTCTGGAAATCCCTTCACTAGAGGCCTTCATGTGCAAGCCAGGGTCTGCCCACTCTGGCTAGTTAAGTGTGGTTAATCTGGAAGGCTATCAGGAGACCCCATAGCCTTCTGTCTTAAGAACAGAGTACGGGACAGCCTCCTGACCAGGCTGGGAGCTTTGGGAAAGCAGGGACTCTCAATCCCACAGTTGACCAGAAGGTTCTTGCATGGCTGGCCCAGGACTGGGTTTGGAAATCTGCATTCCACCCTGGCAGTCGGCTGTGAAGCTCAGTCCCGGGATCTAACCTAGGTGCTGAGGTATGGGGAGCAGTCACCCACCGTCTCGTTCTTTTTGCTGAAGACTGGCATGGCCACCGTGGTGAGGAGCATCAGGCTTTGTGCCTCTGAGGTGAAGAGCTGCTAGGAAGAAAGGGCAGAGATCAGAAGAGGAGTGAGCCCAGGGGGGCAAAAATCCTTTGCTCAGCAGCTTAACTAAGCAAGGCTTTATCTCTGTGACTGTCCTCACTTTCCCAGCCCTCCACTAGACTCATGTCTGGCTGCTGCCTAGGTGTGGCCACCACTATCTGAGGCCCAGCTTCATTCCACTGCATTTCAAGTTCTAGACTTTCTTCTGCCAGGTCCTCAGAATGACCTTAATACTCCCATGTGTGAGGTACAGGGGGCACACCCCAGGCTGGGGGTGGAGGGCATGGATGGATGTGAGGTACAGGGGGCACACCCCAGGCTGGGGGTGGAGGGCATGGATGCATGGAAGAGCGACTAGCAAGAAGGGACAGGTGTAAGCTTGCAATGTGGGGAAGTCAAGACAATACCAAAGCAGATCTTAGCCTCCCTTTTCTTGCCTTCCTTTTACCTCTCTTCCTACCTTTCCATTCTGGGACAGATGTCCTGTGGCCACCGACCACCTGGACAATAGAGGGTCACCTACCTAGACGGACAAGGTTCTCCCCTGTGGCCTCGGCTCAAGGAGTGGCCGTCAGTGTGGGACAGATGCATCTCCTGGGCAATGTCTCAGGGAAGAGCCCACTAGGGCGGTCAGGTGCCCCTCTTACTATGAAGGGACTTTGGGATGGACTCCTGAGGCTTTTGTCCCCAGCTTGGCAAGATGGTTTATATCTACTGCTATATGCTAGAGTAAGTGTGCCCTTGTCCTTAGACACAGAACAGAGGAAGAAAGGCTGAAAGTGTGCCTTCTCAGACACCTCTGCCTCTTGGAAACCAGCATACGACTGAGTTCTGGTCAGTAAGAGGTAAGTAAGTGCATGAGCCAGGATGACCCCTGAGTAGTCCTTTTAAACAGCTAAGCACGGCCTGGCACCATCAGCGCTAGAGCCAGAAGGAGGGGGCTCAGCCTGGGGAGTGAAAATGGCAGCAGGAGGGAGCCTGGCTCCCGCATCCAGGAGCCTCATGGGCTCCGAGATGCCCACCACTAAAAGTCTAAGCATCTTCTCCACTTGGTCTTATCTAAGCCACTGGTGTCAGGCCCTAATCCTAGCCTGTATGTGTCATAAAGGCAGCTGGCTCATACAGGATGTGGTTTGGGGAAGAGACAGCAAGGTCTCCCTCATCCAAGCATCTCCTTTGACCTCCTGTCTTTGATGTTTCTCCCTGTGTAAGACTGCAATCAGGAAGCACCAGGATGAAGCTGCGGGATGGTGAGTCGTTGGTGTGAACGTTTTCTTCCCATGGCAGGTAGGAGAGGACATGAAGGGGGTAGTACAGAGCGAATACAGGGGTGGGGCATACTTAGTTATTTAGGCCTCTGGGGCAATTGGGCACAAAGCTGGTAGTGGGGTGAGGCCTGCTAGGGAAAGGAGGGCAGGGGCAGCTTCCACCACCCCCATGACTGCTCCTGTGGACACGCGGTATCGGCCTCCCCTGACCCACAAGTCACCTCCTGCTCCTTCCCTTCCCTCTGGGCCATCACGCTCACCCTGCTGTCCATGTACGCCTCTGTCCAGATGATGTCATGGTCGTGGTTGATGACCATGGGACGGCTGAGCACGTGTAGGTACTCCATCACGTTCTCCTGGGCATCGGCCAGTGTGGAGATCTGTGTGTAGTAGCCTGGAGAGGGCAAGGCTGCGTGATCAGAGGATGCGCAGGAGAGGCTCTGCTTGATCTCCGCACAGGGCCCACGCACACTTCCTGCTGCGGGGGGGGGGGGCTCCTAGCTGGGCCTCTCTACTTCCTGGTAGCCATGCCTTGTCCTCTAGCACAACACCAAGGCCTGCCCAGCTCCAGCTGTTCAGGGACCGCAGCAAGAGGGTGACTCTTGTCCTCCTGTGTCTAAAGCTCTTGGTTTCCCTCACCGCTCTTCTCCGCACCAAGAGTCTTGATCTTGGTGTAGCACACGCACATGCAAGGTGACCCTCTTCCCTCTGCTTTTGTCTTTGAACAGAGTCAGTGTCTTAATTTGCCACGGCGGGAGTGAAGGGCAGGGCAAAAGGGAGCTGACGCCAGAAACGTGGGTCCCTTCTTGCCTCCTGCTCTGTCTTCCGTGTTGCGTATTTGTACACAGCTTTATTTGAGGAACTGGTTCTCTTGTGTGTACCCTGGGCAAATGGCCTTTGGTTTGCATTTCAGATGACTATAAGCCTGGAGTCCCTGCGGGGGGGATAGACAGTCTCCTCCAGCTTCTCAGAAACCTGCTCTTGCTTTCTCCTAACAAGCAGGTATGGGGGGCAGGCTTGAATAGTGTGCTGCTCCCTTAAGAGGCCTGTATCCAGAGGCCTGTATCCTGAAGTGTTGCTATCCCGCCGACTGCAGGGTGCGCTCCCACAGTCACTCAGTGTGGACGGCAGGACGCTCTCCCACAGTCACTCAGTGTGGACGGCAGGGCGCTCTCCCACAGTCACTCAGTGTGGACCACAGGACGCTCCCCCACAGTAACTCAGTGTGGACGGTGGGGCACTCTCCCAGTCACTCACCTTTGTTGTTGCAGGCGATCCACTTCATGCGGTCAGCAAAAGTCACTTCTCTTCCAATAAGGTAAGTGAAAACTCGGACCTGTCATGAGAGATGGCCTCAGCAGCCGCAGGCTGCATCAGTGCCATCTGTGATGGGCTTAGATCTAGGGCCATGCGTGTTTCTCTTGTGGGTTTTCCAGTTGCACCCTCTTGGGTCAGAGAAAACCTGGAGGCCCCGGTGACAGCATGAACTGCCAGGGTCCTGGTGAGCATGGAACAGTTCTTATGTCTCCAAACCATGCTGCTCCTTTGCCCTGAAGCCTCATGCGTCCTTCCTCCGGGCCCAGGTTGCTGTAACTTTCAGACAGCCAGTTAGACTAGGCCTGAACTGGTGAACAGGTCTAATGGGAAAGACCTCTGAACATGGCGTTGTGGTGCATGGGAGAACTCTCCCTTAGTGTCGGGTGAGGCCCCCTTCCCCCTGCCTTGCGGCAGTGGGAGTTACCTTGCGGTCTGGCCAGTTATATTTCTCAAACACAGGCTCATAGTCTTCCACGGCCCCATCGGTGATCAGCATGATGGCCTGGTTGCAGAGACTTCCTTGTCTGGACTCTTGGAACTGAGGGAGCAGGGGTGAAGCTGTCACTATAGTAAACCTGTAGTTGCAACATGGTCTCCCTCCCTCTCCCTCCACCTTCCCAGGCCTTGCCAGCAGTCGGTACCTGATTCAGGATTTCGAAAGCCTCAATCAGGGCTTGACTCACAACACCCACGCCTTTGACCATTAGTTCATCCACCAACTGCTTGAAATGCTGTCGGGGTAAACGTGAGATGAGGCTTAGAGGACCAAGTGGACCCAGGAATCCTAACTGGGGAGAGTGCTTAGAAGTGTTGTCAGAGCAGCCAATCGCATCACTTGAGTCTGTGTTTCTCAAATGCCCAAAGAGAAACTAAGTTCGAATGACTTGGTGCCAATCTATGTCTCCTCCTAGAAGGCAGGGCCAAGGATGGGGCTAGCCAGAAGTGGACAGTCAAGGGTGACTTGGTTCCACCCCTATAGACAGGTGAATGACCATATACATGTATGCAAAGAGTGGCTTGATTTGCTCTTGTCAGGGGACATATAGAATCTTCACAGACCCTTCCCCCGCCCCCAGGCGAGCTTCGGTTGTGGTGGACACTCACCTCTCGGTTGTCTCGGTCTGCCTGGACGAGGATGCCTTTGAAGCAGGGCTCAATGTAGTGGACGTAGTCATTGTACTGCAAGCCACAGTAAAGAAGATAGAGAGAAAACAGATGTCTTACCCGGGCAGCTTGGCAGTACTGTCTTGGGGTGTCTGGATGGACCAAGTAGGGGATCTTGATTTAAAAACTGCTCCCCAAGTCCTGGTTCTGAAGTAAGGTGAACCTTCTGGGGTGTGCTAAGAACTGACACCCTGAGGGAATTCCTTGGGGCACACAGGCCAGCCAAGCCAATCTTCTGCCAATCCAAGAGTTTCCCTTGCATAGGTCCCTCCCCAGCCTGGGTAGGGGATTCCAAACTACTTTTATTGTTTATTTAATAGTTAGTTTCATTATGTAGCCCAGGCTAGCCTGGAATTGGAATCTCTTGACTCAGTGTCTAGAATGCTGAGCTAATAGGTGTGGGTCACCAAGCTACACTTGTACCCTAGCTCTTCGCATACATGGTCATTCAGCTATCCATAGGGGTGGGACCAGTGGGAAACACGAATTATTACTGACCCCCTTTTCTTAATCTTCCTGGTTGTTGGAACACACATTTCCAGGGTTCCTAACCTGTCTTCTACTTAAGTAAGAGGGAAGAGAGAGGACACAGTGGCTACACCATGGAAGAGCTGTGAGTGCACCGGGGAGTGCAGGACTCAGGCTTCTTCCTAGAAGTTTCTCTGGAGAAGTGGGGCGGACTGTGGGACGGAAGAGCTGCAGGCTTTGAGCGATAGTGCACTTCCCCTCCCCGGGAGAGTATGGAACCTGTTTCTGTGGCTATCTTGTAGGCACAGGCCCTGAGATGTGAGTGGGGGTCAATACAGGGGTGTGTGGTGGTTAGGAGTGCTGCCATGGGCAAGCTGAGCCTTGGGTAGCAGCTCCGGGTCTGGATCTCCCAGCATGATCACTCTGAAGCAAGACACCTTTGCCTAAAGCATGTCTCCACTGACAGCTAGAAATGGCAGCAACTATGCGGAACTATGCAGACTGATGAAGAATTTTGGACCAAATAGTCTTCAAAATGACACCCCAGGGTGGCTGTCAACTCTGCTTCCATGGAGCTGCAGTGGTCACCTGTTGGTTGGGTTTTTAAGTGCCCTCTGTCCCTCCTTTCTGCCTCTGTATCTGGGCTTAGGGGATGAGGAAAGTGAGAGGTCTAGAATCATAACAGATCAAGGGCTCAAGATCCCATCTGGCCTCCTGCGGACAGGGAGGCGTCAGCGCTGATACTGGTAGGAGCCCGTGGAGGGGCTGGCGGCACCGCTAGGGCCTGTGCCGACACTGATGGGGAATGTGGCCTCAGTGAGGGGTGTGCACAGTCACATGTCACCTTAGGTGTTTTGAGGGACCTCGTAAAGTCACCCCCAGGCAGACCACCGATGCTAGCTCAGAAGTCCCCAGTGTGGAGGGGAGTGTCCCCTCTGTGGTGGAAAGCACCATGACTGGAAACAAAGCCCTTCTGGTGCAGGAAAAGAGTATTTTTCCCAGAGCAGGTGAGAGCAGCTGCGGAACAGGAGATCACCATTACCGCAATGATATTCACGAAGTCATTTTCCCCCAAGGTGTCCAGAATGGTTGTGATGGTGTGCTTGGCGATAGCCATCCTCAGCCCCTTCATGCTTCCGCTCACGTCCACAAGAATCACTATGTCTTTGGGAGAGGTGGCCGCTTGTATATACCTTTAGCAGAAAGAAAGGTAAATGGGAGGGAGACCCAGGCTGGGACTGCCATCTGGCTGGGAGCCTCCCGTTGAATTTATTTGATCTGACCCATGAGTTCCCCCAAGTTTAGGCCAATGTCCCACCGGTCCTAGATTTCACTGTGTGCTGTAACTCCTGGGCACAGAGGTTACAGGGGTGGTGAGATTGGAAGTAATCAGGGTCCCAGAGGGCCTGGCAGCAGGATAGGAGGGAAGGAGAAGTCTCAGATAACTGCTCATCTACCAGGAAAAGGGTTTCAAGAGCAGAGCTGGAGATGGGCAGAGGGAATGAGGAGCGTAGCCAGCAAGTCTTCCTATTCTTGGGTTGAATTAAGTCACTGAAGCCCCTCCCTAAACTTTAGGGTAGAGGAGGGGCCAAGAAAGCCAGGCAAAGCCCACGGGCTGGAAGATAAATGCTGGGGTACAGTACCCCTCCTCTGGGAGCTCTTACCAGCCACGGTTTCTGCAGTCGAAGGCGATGACGCCGTTTTCATCAGGTTTCCACTTTATTCCTGGGGAAACAAAGGCTGCATCTCTCACCAGCTCGGTGAGCTGCCTGGTGCCCTGGCTATTGCTGGCTCCCAGAATGGCCATGACCCCCAGTATAGGTTCTGCTTCCAATACAGGGAACATGGTGAAGTCACTAAACTACACCTTGTATACTGAGGCAGCTGGCAAGGATGGAGGCCCCTTCTACAAAGAGAAACTGACCATCCAAACTGTCAGATCCTGGATAGAGACCCCCATATGCTGGGGCTCACTTGTGAGGCTAAACCCTATATTAGTGGAGGAAGAGCTGTGGGAGCCATCTGGCCATGGGCATAGCAGCCAGAATCGGGGCTCTGACCTGCTCTCACCCCGTTCAGGTGGCTCATTTACATGTGTGATCCCTCCTGGACTGAGAAAGGAAACGTTACTAAGTAATTTGATGTCAGGAACTCCTGGCACCAGGCAGAGTAGGTGCTCAACAGCTGTGTCCTGAATGAACTGAGAGCCTGAGAGACCTTGCTTGAACCCTAGCAGAATGCAGTCCGGTACCCTCCAGGACCCTGTTAGTTGGGATAAATGCACAGAAAACACCAGTGTGACCCACAAATCCTCTGCAGAGAAAGACCTTCGTAATCAGGGATAATGGGTACAAAATGAGCGAAAAGAACAGATGGGATTGTAATATATGCTATGCTGGGCCTAGATAAAGCTCCGTGGAAGAACCCAGCAGTCTAGCGGCTTCTGGTTTGAGAGCAGGTGGGATGGGGGAGGCTGAGGCTTCGGGGTCATCCCCCAAGTGAGAATGGAGTTCTAAGGGTGAGGGCGGGAATGGAGCAGCCCGAAGCTGAGGTCTTGAAGGAAGAAGGACAGGGGCAGAGGGCAGGCTTGACGCAGTGGGAATTGTGTGCGGCCTGGCTTTGACCTAGACCGCAGGTGACTGGAAGAGTGAAGCCTTCCTAAGGCCTCACTGACAGCAGTGAGGTCTCGGGAAGCTTGATCTTACAAGAGTGGAGAGGAGGAGCTGAGCTGGTCTTGGCCTGAATTAAAACCTTAGAAGAGGGCTTTAGCAGATTTGGACACCTTACCTTCAAGTTTAAATAATAAGGGAAATTCCCTCCCTCCCCTCCCCCACCCTCTTTTCTTCCTCCTCCCCAACTCTATCCCTCCTTCCCTCATTCACATGAAGATGACCAAAGCCACGAGAAGCAAATGTGAGAGGTGAGATCAAGGCCATTGGACTTTGCTTCCCGAGAGTTATAGAGGTGGAACTACCAAACACAAACACAGGCTGGGCATGTTACATCATGCAGACCTGACATGGCCCCAAGTGCTCCATGGTCCCTAGCTCATGGTGTCCTGAGGGGAATCTTGAAGTGGGGGCTTGATGGGAGGAAGTTAGGTCACTGGGGGCCTCTATGAGTTGGGGGCCAGACAGCCAGGGCTCCACAGTGAGACCCCATGAAGAAGAGGAGGAGCAGGAGGAAGGAGGCATGGCTCTAAAATTATGGAACTTTTAAAAATGAAAAAAAGTTCAGAATAAAAGAAATATCCCAATGAGAAAATTAAAGAGAGAAAGAGAAAACTGGACATCTGAAAGATTAGTCCAGAGTGCGGTTGATTCTAGAATGAGGAGATCTAGTGACCACCCTGCTGGAAGTGCAGGGAGAAAGAAGGGCGAGCTGTGGGGAGACAGTGATTAAAGAGATGTTGTGGGGCTGGGGAGATGACTCAGTCCGTCATGAGAACATGGGTCAGGATATCCAGCCCCATGGAAAACACCGTTACAGTTTCCTGTGCCTATAATCTCAGTGCTGGGGTGTGTGTGGAGACAGGAGGGTCCTGGGAGCCTGCTGGCCAGCTAGTCCAGCCAAATCAGCAGGTTCCAGTGAGAGGAGAGACCATGTCCTTAGATAAGATGGAGATGACTGAGAAAGACACTATGTCAACCTCTGACCCCTATATGCACGATCACAGGCACATGCTCACACACATATACACACGCATGCATCGCAACACACACATGCACACATAACATGCACATGCATAAAAAACACACACATGCATGCAACATATGCATGTGCACACAGTGTACACAGGTATACACAGTACACACATGCACACGCAGCATACACATGCATCAAAACATACATACATACAAGCACACACAACACATCTATACACATGCACACACAACACATCCTCACTCATGCATATACAATATGCAT